AGGCAGGGGGTCAAGGTACAATAAGGAAAGATATCAGCCATACGTCGAGGATCGAAGGAACATTTCAAGGCGTAACATACCTCGAAATGATCCAAGAGCAGATCAAAGTCAAAGTTCCCGGGGACTCGTGAGCAAAACTGGGTTTGATAGGCACTTGGGACTGGCAGAGGCACCCCGATTGTCGGAGTACAACTTCAGCATCAATTCCTCGGGTATCGTCTCAGCCATCGGCAAAATTAGAGATACTAGATGGCCCAAGCCTATACATACCAATCCTTCTCAGAGGAACCCCAACTTGATGTGCAAGTATCATGGTACTCATGGGCATCAGACCGAGGATTGCAGGCAGCTTAGAGAGGAGGTAGCCCGGTTGTTCAACGAGGGGCATCTTCGTGAATTTCTCAGCGATCGGGCCAAGAACCATTTCCGAAAAAGAGATGTAAACAGGAAGAAGGAACCTGAAGAACCTCAACATGTCATCCACATGATCATCGGTGGAGTCGACGTCCCACAGGGAGCCATATTCAAACGTACCAAAGTATCCATCACCAGGGAGAAGCGGACTCGGGACTACATGCCCGAGGACACCCTCATATTCAGCGAGGAAGACATCGAGGCCTTATCTCAGCCTCACAACGATGCACTGGTATGTTCTATCCTTTTAAATAAAGTTCAAGTTAAACGTGTTCTCGTGGATCCAGGTAGTTCGGAGAATATAATCAGGTTGAGGGTCGTGGAGCAGCTCGGGTTGCTCGATCAAATCATACCTGCATCTCGAGTCTTGAATGGCTTCAACATGGCGAGTGAAACGACGAAGGGAGAAATCATCCTCCCAGTCAGCGTGGCCGGAACCATACAAGATACCAAATTTCATATCACCGAAGGTGACATGAGGTATAATGCTTTGCTTGGAAGGCCGTGGATCCATAGCATGAGAGCGGTGCTATCGACCCTTCATCAAATGATGAAGTTCCCAACAAAGGATGGCGTGAAAACAGTATATGGAGAGCATCATGCAGCTAAGGAGATGTTTGGAGTACACGACATGGCACCGGTATCGACACCATCCACACTGAAGAAGTCAAAGGACAAACAGGTGCCCAAATAGCAATCACAACTCATACCCTCGGTTGAGCCCGAGGGGACAAGTGATCGATGAGCAGGAGGTCGAGGACAAAGAAGAAGATTTCCTCATCCCCCGAGCCTTCGCTGCCCCCAAGGAATCGGATGCGACAAAGTCCACGGTCGAAGAACTTGAGCAGGCCGTATTGATCGAGCATCTTCCAAAACGAAAGGTATACCTGGGGACGGGGTTAACCCTCGAACTCAGGAAAAAACTCATTCAATTTCTTATTAATAACATCGATTGTTTCGTCTGGTCCCACTTAGATATGATAGGGATCCCACCGGAGATAACTACCCATCGACTAAGTGTCGATCCTAGATTTAAACTGGTAAATCAAAAGAGGAGACCTCAGTCCGAGGTAAAGCATGCATTCATCAAAAAAGAGGTAACCAAACTTCTCAAGATAGGATCCATTAGGGAAGTAAAATATCCCGAATGGCTAGCTAACGTAGTGGTAGTCCCTAAAAAGGGGAATAAACTTAGAATATGTGTAGACTACAAAGATTTGAACAAAGCATGCCCTAAATATTCTTTCCCATTGCCCAACATCGATCGTTTGATAGATGCTACGGCCAGCCACGAGATCCTTACTTTTCTCGATGCCTACTCTGGGTACAACCAAATTCAAATGAACCCGGAGGACCAAGAAAAGACTTCGTTCATCACGAAGTATGGTACGTATTGTTATAATGTAATGCCCTTCGGGCTAAAAAATGCAGGAGCCACATATCAACGCCTAGTTAATAAGATGTTCGAACATCAAATAGGCAAATCCATGGAAGTTTATATTGATGACATGCTAGTTAAGTCCCTGCGCGCAGAGGACCATTTGACCCATTTGTAGGTGACGTTTGATATCCTAAGAAAGTACAACATGAAGCTCAACCCCGAGGAATGCGCCTTTAGAATCGGCTCAAGCAAGTTCTTGGGCTTCATGGTGTCGAACAGGGGTATCGAGATCAACAAGGATAAAATCAAAGCCATCGAGGAAAGTCAGTCTCAACACTCGAGACCCAAACGAAGGGAAACTAGGCCCCAATTGGGAAGGACCGTGCCGAGTCCTGGGAGTCGTAGGGAAAGGATCCTACAAACTCAGTACAGTGGAAGGCGAGCAACTACCAAACAATTGGAACGTATTGTTTCTCAAACGCTATTACTGCCGAACATGAAGACCTTGGATTTTAAAGCATGCGTTGCAGTCTTTTTCCCTTGGATCGGGTTTTATCCCAAATGGGTTTTACTGGCAAGGTTTTTAACGAGGCAACACCTATATGCTACCTAAGGAATATTCAACAAGTATTCAAGGCTTCTTTTCAATCAACCTCGAACACTGGGGGGCATCACCCTCGGAGGACGCATTCTCGAAGAAAGCGTTTCATGCCAAGGAGGACCTCGAATAAGGTAATGTTGTAATGGGCCAAACGATCAAATGAACTGTGTCCATGTAGAATAGTCGAGCCCCCAGCGGCAAAACATGTACACACGTATCAATTATTTGAAGAAGCATTCTTATTATATCGAAACACCTTGTGCCTCAAAGAAGTCTACTATTTTCACATTTAACGGCTCAAGGGCCAAAACACCGAATGCACCCGAATACTCGGGGACTGTCATTAACAATTGACACATCGAGTTATCGGACACTCGAACTTATAAGACCTCAAAGAGGCACACTCGAACATATAAGACCTCAAAGAGTCACACTCGAGCTCACAAGACCTCAAAGAGGCATCCCCTCGATATTAAGGCCAAGGCCATCACACTCGGGGACTAAAGGCTATGGCGATATGAAAGACTACGGTCATATGAAAAGGCTACGGCCGAAATAATGTGGCTCGGAGACGTCCGACTTCCGCCATAAAACTAAAAGGCCTTCATATACTTCGAAAAAACCGGTTAAATTAGGCTACCCTCGGCAAAAGGAAATTATAAGGGGCTTCGATATAATCAGCCCTCGAATATTGCGAAGGCTTGGATAACATCAGCCTTCGGAAAAACCTCAAGAGGTATTCGATTAACATTGCATATCAAATTACAAACGAGGTTCCAATCAATCGAACCTTCAGAAAACCCAAACGGGTAAAAAAAACACATGCCAAGGCATACAAAATTTTCACCAAGTCTTTTAGCCAAAAAGAGGGGAAAATCCATTTTGGAGGCCGAATCGCCCTAACTTAAAGAGCCTAAGGGCTGATGTATAAGAGCCTAAGGGCCAATATAAAGAAGCCTAAGGGCTAACTTTATTTCGAGTTCGAGCAAGTACTCACTCGACCACCAAGCCCAAGGGCTACCCGAGTTCGAGAAAGTTCTTACTCGGGGACTATCCACGAAGCCTAAGGGCTAACTTTATTTTGAGTTAGTGCAAGTACTCACTCGACCACTAAGCCCGAGGGCTACCCAAGCTTGAGAAAATCCTCTCTCAGGGACTATCCACGAAGTCTAAGGGACAACTTTATGTCAGACTCGAGACCTTGCTCTCGCTCAACTCGGACCCAAGAATTCCTACTCACATCAATTTAAGCTTAGCTCAAGGGCTAACGAAGGCCTCAAGGAGTAATACGCTGATCGGTTAGAAACCCAAGGGTCGTCATACCAGAACTCGAACCGGTCATTTAAATTATGAAATCGAATTTTCAACAAATATGAACAAGATTCAATACAAGCCAAAGACGAGACAAAGTTAAAATCCTTTTTTATTTCCAAGAGATAGTTACAAAATATTTACAACGCCCACGAAGGGTCCTTACACAGGAACAAGGAAGCAAAAACAAAGCCAAGAACCTAATCTACTTTTAGGGACACATCCTCGAGAGCGGCGCCTTCGGGAACCTCCTCCGAGACAGCAATAGATGAAGAAAAGTCTATAGCCTATCAAGAAGCAAAAGCTTTTAACAAGCGGAGAAAATTGTGGCTTGGTGAAAAACTTGGTAAGTATGGGTCTTGTCAGCACAACTATTCTAAAGCCACTCCCCGAGACGTTATACCAGTGTGGGATGCAAAAGTTAGTAGATGATAGTACCACCTCACTCCATGGAAAGCAGAAGGAATGAAGTGCCACACCAGGATTCAAGATAAGAGAGATGAGCGATAGGGAAAAGGTCACATATCTCTTAATACGGGAAGGGTTTTGCACCTTTTTTTTGTTGTTTCGAATCGAAGCTTCGAAAAGAAAAGCCTTAGCGTAACTGCTAAAGTTGCTGCCATGTGACCAGGAGTTTGCAGGTTTTGAATCATGGAAGCAGATGATTAGATGAAAAAATAAAGAGGGGAAAGAACCAGAGTAAAAATGATGAATGAACACAGTATTTGTTCAAATTGGATAGCCTCGTATTTATAGACAGACGGTGAAAGGCGATGACGATTTTGGCGGCGCAAGTGGACGACCAACACTGATACGCATTTGATGTTCCGGGGAAGAGCATTTACATAACATTTCTGGTCATTTCAAGCGCCACATCACAGGTATGATGTCATCCTAAAAGGCTCAGGAAAATCGAGGTCCCAATCATTTCTTACGCTAAGAAACGCGGGGCCAAAACGGATGGAGGTCAAGAAAATAGGGGCCAAGACCTCATTCTCATTCAACTCAGGTCCGAGGGTTGCGTCATTACAAGCTCGATCTAAGCTCAAGAATTACCTAAGACCTCAAGAGGCATCATGTTAGTCAGTAAAGAACCTAAGGGTTCATCGTGTTCTAAGTTCGAACCAACACTCAGGATGATAATTTGGGTTGTACAAGCTAATTTTCTATAAATAAAGGAAAACGAAATTCATCACAAACCAAGGTCGAAACAAAAGTTCCTTTGTATTCACAAAGCACATTTACAAAACTCCCCCTAGAGCCCTTACATAAAATAAAGAAATTAATGAAGACCTAGTCTATTGTCGGGGCCGCTCGATCGGAGGTAGCATCCACCGGAACTACATCTTCGGTGGTCTGGCCTTCGGCAGCCTGATCTTCGGGGGCATGTTCCTCCTCGGGAACTTCATCTTCGTCCTCCCCACTCTCGAAGCCATTGACAGAATCTTCATCAGTAGAAAGCAATGCAGCTGCCTCTTTTTCCAAAGCCTTTACCTTCTCAATTTCTGCAGAAAGGTCAAAGCCTTTGTAATGCACTTCCTCGAGAGTTTTCTTTCGAGATTCCAGCCGAGCATGATTGACAGCGCAGGATAACTTAAGCTCAGCTGCAGCAGATATCTCCCTAACCCGAGCATTGGCAGCTGCAGCATCAGTTCGATATGAAGACACGAACGCATCGGCTTCGGACTTAACCTTAGACAACTCAGCGACCGTCTTAGCATGAAGCTCCATATATTTACGACCCTCCTCTTTTGCACTCCGAAGCTGGATCTCGGCAGAAGCCAGCTGTTCTCGAAGGCTGTCTTTTTCGGAGGCCAAGCGATCCATACTTTGCTTCCACTCGAGGGTTACAACCTCTTTGGTCTTGAGCTCCTCCCGAAGTTGCTCCGCCAAGTCGGCTTTCTCCTGGAACTGCAAGGGTGGAACATTAGACGCCAAAACAAACAAGTACAAAATGCGCCCACAAAGGCTATATTACCTTTTCAACGAGCTCGGCCTGCTCTTGGGCAGCTTTCGCCGAACTTGCTCGAAGATCATTAAGTTCACCCTCTCTTTCGGCATAGAGAGCCTTGAATCCATCTATCTCTGACATAAGCTTCCTGAGCTCGTCTTCACATCGGGCAGCTCAGCTCGAGACTTGGAAACAGCTTGAGGGAAGAGCATCGCAGACTAAAGGAAGGAGGTCAGAAAAGCAGGAACCTAACTCTAAATGTAGTTACCAAGTCAAAGTTTATCTGCTTTCTAAGCTTCTCGGCCTCTTCAAGGATGAACGAGGCATCTAGGTAGGGACCCTACTCGATCCCGGCAAGGCATTCGCCAAAAATGTCATTCTCCCCGTGGGATGTTCCCACATCAGGAGTCTTCATATCTTGGGCATCTCGTATTTTGCCCTCAGAAAATGATGGGCCTGGTGGAGAGTCGTCCACGTCAATCACCCTGAGCGGCTCAATCGGGGCCTTATCCCGCCTTCGAAGAACCTCAGGCTTGGGTTCTCTAAGCTCATCGAACAAGTGCCCTTCAGAACGGGGCGCTTTCTTGCCACTAGTCGATTCAAGAACCTTGCTCAAGCTCCCCCCGGGTTACCTCCTCAGCTTGAGGTTGAACCGCTTCGGTGGCCTCCGGCTCAGCAGCCTTTGAAAGATCGGTGCCTCCTCCTCTTTGAGTTATTAACGGGTGAACGTCTTCGCCCTCGGCCTCATCTCTCTCTTCGTCCTCAGCACGAAGACGTGCAACAATTTCTGGAGTCAAGGCCACTGTATCGGCCCTAGGTTTTTGAAGCTTGGCCTTTTTCGGCTTCGGGGACTTCGCCAGCGACCTTTTCCTTCTTTTCATGTCCTTGGAGGGTTTCTGGGTCTCTCCCTCGCCAGGTGGGGGCGGCCTCATCGAAACAACATCTCCGAGGCCTGCACAAGCATAAAGTTAAATGTAATGCTGAGGAGTATTTCACTAAGGGAATTAAATATGCAAATAATAAGGACTCACCGTGGTTTTTGGCCTCCCGTCGGCCTTTGGCCAAATCACGCCAGATGCGCTCGGCATATGTGGAAGTGGAAGCTAGTTGCCGAACCCCGCCCAGGAGGTCCACAATCGCACCTGGATACCAATCAATGGCTGAATCACAAAAAGGGAGTTAGTTAAAAGGAAAGGGGAAATGTTTACGTAATGAAACATGATCGATAGGTCTATACTTACGCTTCGTATTCCATTCCTCGGGGAACGACATCTTTTTAGCGGGAATCAGGTCGGAGGTCCTGACTTGAACGAAGCGGATCATCCACCCTCGGTCTTTATCCTCATTGATGCTAGCGAAGAAATACTTCGGAGATCGACGCTGCAATTTTATCAGACCACCTCGATAGAGAAGAGGGCTGTATAGTCTGATCAGATGGTCGAGGGTAAAAGACATCCCCTCGACCTTGCTCGAAAAGTACCTAATGAGGTGAACAATCCGCCAGAAGGAAGGATATATTTGGCCGAGTTTTACTTGGTATTGTTGACAGAAATCGAGGATCATTGGGTCTAGAAAGGGCAAAGAAGGATCTACGGGACCTAAGGTGAATGGGTATGTGTATACGCTTAGGTACCCTGCTTTGTGAGTGGTAGTATCCTTATCAGGTGAAGGGATCTCCACGTGCACTTTATCTCCCTAATGGCAATCTGCCTTCACTTGTTTGAGTTCGGTTATTAAGCTAATATACCGAGACATGGGTTCACATCGCCCTGGAATCGAAGCAGGCTTGTCGACCTTGAAATCGGAAGACGTATCACAAAGCCCGAGGGTACACTCCTCAATGCGAAGAGGTACCACCATTTTATTCTTCAATGAGCATGAATACGAAGAGGCCTTCTCTTTTTGTGGAACTGTCTTCGAAGTTTTTGCCATTTTTGTGAAAATTCAGAAGAAGGAGAAGAAGCCCGTTAAGAAATGGGCACAAGGAAGTGCAGAGATGGTTTGATGATATTGTAAAAGTTAAAGTTTGAAGAATGAAGGATTGAAGTATTTATAGAGGCTGTCTAAGCGTGCTGGAGAAGCTAAACAGACGACCAATAAGCCGTCTTTCATTAAAGGCTTTTCGAAAATTGTATAGGCGTAACTATTGCGTGACTTTTCAGTCACACGGGCCACTGACCTCACTAGACTGACATCATTATTGGGACATCGAAGGGGCAAGAATCAGATCGTTTCTTATCTTTTCATTATAAGAAACGCTGGGACTATCTGTATACGGTCGAAACCGGAGAGCTCGATTTCGAGGACTTAACGGTACCCCGAGCTCGAATTCGGGCAGCACAAAGTAAAGACCAGATCAGACTGGAAAATGCATACCTCGAGGGAGCAAATCGGAGACCTTCATGATCCACCTCGAGGGCAGTACAATTTCGATGGCACTCAAGAAAGAGCAGGAATTTCTCAAGGACATGTGGATCAGGGCATAAATTATGGGATAAGATTTGTACGAAATAGTACGAGTCCGTACTAGGTTGTTATAAAGCTGTACCAATAGAATTCTTTAACATAATTGGGAATGTACCATATTTGGGATTTCCCCTCCTATATAAAGGGGACCCCAAACATTTGTAAAGATATTTTACTCACTGCAATAGAACATTATACTCTGCTTTTCTTGTTTACTGTGCTCCATAATTGTTCTTCAGCTTTATTGCTTTTACTTTATTGTTCATACTTTATTTGCTCTTAACTCACCTCGATGCTCCCGAGAAAATCGAGCTCGAGGTCCCCGTTGCTCTAACAACACTGGTTTGGTTCATCAATTCTTCATACTTAAACCTAATATTACTTGTATATTCAGTAGTATTGGAATAAATCACATATCTTTAAAACTACAAATCACCATTAATTGTTGCACACATTTTTCGAGGTAAACAATGTATATGAGTTAAAATCCTTTCTTTTTACCATTCAATGAACCAAAAGTAGAAATGTCAATCCATTATATACTAATACTACACGAATAAAATAGTTGGTGCATGTCACTCGTTGTGAGAAGAAATCGATAATGGCAGCTGGTCTCTCTTACGAAGAAGAAGAAGAAGGACTAGGTTTTCAAACAACTGAGAACATTTCGGATACTTCTAGGTCAACAACACTTTGGACTTACCTTATTTGGTCTCTCCACGTGCTCTCATCTCAACGGCTGTGCAAAAAATATGATAGATTAATTAATAACCATTCAGATGAAGAACACCACAGCTTATTATACAACTACACAACACTGGATCCCAAACTTTAAAATCTGTCACAAGGGATATGTACATAGCAAAAGAATATTCTTCAGTTAGATTTTGTTATTAGCTAGCAAATAGGATTTAGACACATGTATAGGTGGTTATTTTGGTTCTTTTATTCTTTCATAGAATAGTTCTATATATAGATTGTCTCCGTTCAGAATAAATACATAGAAAATTTCCACAAAATTATTTCATTTCTTTTACACTCTTTCATGGTGTCACGACCCAAACTTATGGGCCGCAACGGGCACCCGGTACCTTACTCAACCGAGTACCAACATAACGTATCTTTCTTATTACATCATCATAGATAAGTGGGCCGGACATCAGGGATTATCCGGCATAGGACAACCCAACCTGATATAGAAACTCATACATGTCACATACAGGCCTATAAGGCCAATGTGATCCATTATATACTTAAAATATAGGCTGACAAGACCATACAATTATCCATATACATGACATCTGTCTACAAGCCTCTAAGAATACATAATATCATAAAGGTCGGGACAGGGCCTTGCCATACCAAACAATACGCGTCTAAATCATACTGACCAAACAAGCAACTCCGGAGCAAATGGAGTGCACCAACATCTTCCCTGAGCTGATAGCCTACTTGGAGGACTCTCGACCTGTCTATCGGGACCTGCGGGCATGAAACGTAGCGTCCCCAGGCAAAAGGGACGTCAGTACGAATAATGTACCGAGTATGTAAGGCACATAAATAAGTACATAAAAGACACGGATGAAATATAGAGTAAATGACTCAACCTGTAAGTCTGGATAACTCTGTAAATCATGAAATACTTATAGTGTCATCCATATGCATATGAATGTCATGTCATGCATAGGTACATGTGTTCATAAAATCATCAAGCCTCTGAGGGCATCCCATCATATCATCTCGGCCACTGTTGGCAAAATCATCAACGCATACCAGCTGATAAGGTGGTGGTGCGTATATAACGCCATAACCTTTCCCATATCCCATACACACACACACACACACACACACACACACACACACACACACACACATATATATNATATATATATATATATATATATATATATATATATATATACGCGTATATAACGCCATCTGGTCATGGGTCAATATGTATTGTATAAATGTATGAAATGCATATGAAATACATTAATAAAATCTCTCGGTACGTCATAAGACCATTATGCCTATGATTAATATCATAGAATAAACTTTACCAACTTACGTATTTTTGAGACCCATGAACAGATGATAGAATAATAAAACTTATGGAAAATCACGAATATAAGCATCTCTAGCATTTCTACGAATAGAGTCATTTATGGAAGTTGTGCATTTGCTCGTTTCGTTTGTGTCGTATGGATCATGCCAAAAGAAAGAAGGGATGGCCTTAACATACTTGGACTAGGGAAAAATCCGTATGATATTCTTGAGAAGGATTGCAGCGTACTCCCTAGAATTGCAAAATCTCGTTGCTATTACGCAGTGTAACTTTGTATGAAAATTTTCCCAAAGTCCGTCACTTTGCCTAAGTAATTCTCGTTTCTTTGTCATCAATTAGAAGTCTTAGAGATTCTTTGAATGTAAAGCTTCATCCGTAAGCTTTTTTTGGCAAATTTATGCAATTCCCTCTTAGTTTATACATAATAATCCTTGTAGGCCACCAATTCCCCTGCACATGCCACATATCATATAAATGGATAGTCATCATTTGCGCTTTATATGGCTGCCACATAATTCTTAAGAATTATCCAAAATTATTATTCATTACCAATTCTTAATTAACTTGGTAATTCCCCGCTAATCTAATAATTAACCAATTATCCACATAA